CGTGGTCCCGGCAGGTGAAGCTGCCAGCTCAGTCCGCTAAGACTTACTGTATAGCGACCCCTGCCTACTCGTAAGGTAAAGTTGTTTGGGGACTCCACTAATCGCAGCACGCAGCACCCATTTTTTACATAAATAAACGTAATATTAGCGTAACTACCATTCGCACACTTGAATACACACCACACTCACACAGCGCAGGGTCTGCGCCCACAGTGCACTGCGGCGCAGACCTTGCCAAACCTATGCTATCGCTCTCTTCCGGGCGTGTTAATTATTTATTTTTTATCGAATCAAAGTGAGCTGAGGCTTTTTGCCGGCTGTTTTATTTTCATCGAATCAGAGCGAGCTGTTTGGGCGGGTCCGTAAATAAATTAACGTCCAGATACGCACGCAGACGACCAAACCAGCGTAGTTGTTTAAGATATATGGCCGCCATTGGTTGCGCGTGTGTGTGGAAAACGCGAGCCGGCAGTGCCGCGTGAGTGGGGCGGGAGCGATACACAAGCTTGCTGGCGCTCACGCATGTTTACACAGCGTGTCTACACGGCGCGTCTACACAGCGCGTCTACACAGTAAAAAATGCATTAACGGTGAGGCGCGCACCCATAGTTCTACCGCCGACGCTCCTTTACCTCGAGCATTTACACGGCGGATTAAGGCTTAACCACTTGGGGGAGGGGGGGGCATGTGCATATTCATAGTCCTTTAGCATTAGCTTTTGTGTGCAAGCGGATTGGGGTTTAACTCCGCAGAGGTGCACGCGCATATTCATACTGCCGTTTTGATTCGCGCCAGCCTTTGTGAGGGCAATACGCGCCTGCAGGGGCGCGCGTGTGCACGCATCCGCGTTCGTGTTTGTGTGGTGGGGTACGTGTGCGTGGGGGAGAGAACCCCGGGCGGTGGTGAGCCAGCCGAGTAGCGATGTCCCTCAGAGAGGGCGCTGGCGCGGGGGGCCGATCACCCGATCGGCGGGGGCGCGGAGAGAGGCGGCCGAAGAGGAGGAGGAGGGGGGAGTGGAGGGGGTGGACGTCGCGCCCCGCCCGCTCACGGGGAGCGGGGAGGTGGACGTCGACCCCCAGTCTCTCTCTTAGCGGGTTCACAATGGCCGTGTCTCTCTCTTAGCGGGTTCACAATGGCCGTGTCTCTCTCTTAGCGGGTTCACAATGGCCGTGTCTCTCTCTTAGCGGGTTCACAATGGCCGTGTCTCTCTCTTAGCGGGTTCACAATGGCCGTGTCTCTCTCTTAGCGGGTTCACAATGGCCGTGTCTCTCTCTTAGCGGGTTCACAATGGCCGTGTCTCTCTCTTAGCGGGTTCACAATGGCCGTGTCTCTCTCTTAGCGGGTTCACAATGGCCGTGTCTCTCTCTTAGCGGGTTCACAATGGCCGTGTCTCTCTCTTAGCGGGTTCACAATGGCCGTGTCTCTCTCTTAGCGGGTTCACAATGGCCGTGTCTCTCTCTTAGCGGGTTCACAATGGCCGTGTCTCTCTCTTAGCGGGTTCACAATGGCCGTGTCTCTCTCTTAGCGGGTTCACAATGGCCGTGTCTCTCTCTTAGCGGGTTCACAATGGCCGTGTCTCTCTCTTAGCGGGTTCACAATGGCCGTGTCTCTCCCTCAGTGGGCTTACAATGGCCGTGTCTCTCCCTCAGTGGGCTTACAATGGCCGTGTCTCTCTCTTAGCGGGTTCACAATGGCCGTGTCTCTCTCTGAGCGCGTTCACAATGGCCGTGTCTCTCTCTTAGCGGGTTCACAATGGCCGTGTCTCTCTCTGAGCGCGTTCACAATGGCCGTGTCTCTCTCTTAGCGGGTTCACAATGGCCGTGTCTCTCTCTGAGCGCGTTCACAATGGCCGTGTCTCTCTCTTAGCGGGTTCACAATGGCCGTGTCTCTCCCTCAGTGGGCTTACAATGGCCGTGTCTCTCCCTCAGTGGGCTTACAATGGCCGTGTCTCTCTCTTAGCAGGTTCACAATGGCCGTGTCTCTCTCTCTGAGCGCGTTTACAATGGCCGTGTCTCTCCCTCAGTGGGCTTACAATGGCCGTGTCTCTCTCTTAGCAGGTTCACAATGGCCGTGTCTCTCTCTCTGAGCGCGTTTACAATGGCCGTGTCTCTCCCTCAGTGGGCTTACAATGGCCGTGTCTCTCTCTTAGTGGGTTCACATTGGTCGTGTCTCTCATTGGGTTCACAATGGCCGTGTCTCTCTCTTAATGGGTTCACAATGGCCGTGTCTTTCCCTCAGTGGGCTTACAATGGCCGTGTCTCTCTCTTAGCGGGTTCACAATGGCCGTGTCTCTCAGCGGGTTCGCATTGGCTGTATCTCTCTCTCATTGGGTTCACGTGTCTCTCTCTCATTGGGTTCACAATGGCCGTGTCTCTCTCTCATTGGGTTCACATTGGCCGTGTCTCTCTCTCATTGGGTTCACATTGGCCGTGTCTCTCTCATTGGGTTCACAATGGCCGTGTCTCTCATTGGGTTCACATTGGCCGTGTCTCTCTCTTAATGGGTTCACAATGGCCGTGTCTCTCCCTCAGTGGGCTTACAATGGCTGTCTCTCTCTAAATTCACAATGGCCGTCCCTCTGTGAGTGGGTTCACAATATCCGCGTCTCTCTCTTAGCGGGTTCACAATGGCCGTGTCTCTCTTAGCGGGTTCACAATGGTCGTATCTTTATCTCAGTGGGTTCACAATGGCCGTTTCTCTGTCGGTTCATAATGGCCGTCTCTCTCTTGAAGGGTTCACAATGGTCATATCTCTTTCAGTGGGTTCACATTGGCCGTGTCTCTCTCTGTGGGTTCACATTGGCCGTGGCTCTGTAAGTCGATTCACAATGGTCGCATCTCTTTCTACGGCTTCACAATGGCTGTTTCTCTCTCTGTCGGTCCATAATGGCCCTATCTGTCAGGGGGCTCACAATGGCCGTGCCTTTATGTCAGTGGGTTCACAATGGCCGTGTCCCTCTGTCAATGGGTTCACAATGGCCGTGTCTCTCTCTTAATGGGTTCACAATGGCCGTGTCTCTCAGTGGCTTCACAATGGCAATGTATCTCTGCGGGTTAATATTGGCCGCATGGTGTGGTGTGTATTTACTACAGCACTGGGGAGACGAAGACAGCCGGGCGTGGTGAACTAGGCCACAGCCAACCAACCGTCTTATAGGCGCCACTAAGCCCCCCACAAAAACACGCGGAGACGTTGGGTGTCAAACATAATCTTTTTAACTCTGATTTACTGTACATCATAGTCAATCCAGCAGTGGAGTGGCACCACGTCGCACGTGTTACAGGCGTGTGCGCACACGCGTACCCGTGCGTGTGCATGGGTACACATCTTCGTGTATCCTCCCCCTCCCCCCCAGCTTCACGTGTACACACAGCCGCATGTACACAGTCACATGTATACATGCCTGCGTGTACACACACCGATATCCATGTATCCTCATTTCCACGTCTACACAGCCACGTGTACACACTCAGCCGTGTGTACACACGTGCTCGTGCCCAATGTGTACACACATTCTTGCGTCCTCGTGTACACACGACTGCACACATTCTCCCATCTGCCATGCCCACGTGTACACACGGGTACCTGTATCCCCAGGTACATACACACACGTGTACACACATCCGTATCCGTGTACATACACACACATGTACACACATACCCGTGTACACATGCAAACGTGTACACACGTACCCGTGTCCCTGTGTGCGACACCTCGATACAAAAGCAACACAAGGGGCGACACTGTCTCATTCTATACACCACCACCACCACCACAACTACCACAGCCACAACCTCCGCCACCACCACCACCAGTCACAACCAACACGACTGCTGCCATCACCACCGCAACCATCACAACTGCTATCGTCACCACTACAACCGCCACCACCACCATCACAACCAACACAACTGCAACCACCACAACTGCTAGCCCAATCACAATCAGCTCCACAACAACCAACACAACCACCACCATCACAACCGCCGCCACCACCACCACCCCAACCACCACAGCCACAACCGCTGCCACCACCGCAGTGAAACAATTCAGTGTCGCAAAATATAAATAGCGTGCTAGCTAGTGAGAGTGGGTGAGTGAATGTCAGTGAGTGTGTGAGTGACGGTAAAAATGTGTGTGTGAGTGTGTGTGTGGGTGAGTGTGTGAGTAAATGAGTGAATGTGAATGAATGTGTAAGTGTGAATGAGTGATTGTGAGTGCGAGCGAGTGTGAATGAGTGTTCGTGAGAGTGTGTGTGAATGAGTGTTCGTGAGAGTGTGAGTGTGTGTGAATGAGTGTTCGTGAGAGTGTGAGTGAGTGTTCGTGAGAGTGTGTGTGAATGAGTGTTCGTGAGAGTGTGAGTGTGTGTGAATGAGTGTTTGTGAGAGTGTGAGTGAGTGTGCTCACACACGGAATATTCCACGGTCCCCATGGAGACGCCCTCATCTCCAATGCCCGTTACCCACAATGCCCAGATTCCGACGAGGCCTCCTGCGGTCTGGCGTGTGGCCTGAGCTACCTCCTCCTCCACCACCACATCCACCTCCTCGTCCTTCACACCCCCGTTCTCCACCACCATCTCCACCTCCTCCTCCATGTCCTCCTCCACATCTCTTCCTCCTACATGTCCTCCTCCTCCACGTCCTCCTCCTCCTCCCCCACATCCTCCTCCTCGTGCTACACAGCCCACCCTAGCTGTTGGCCTCCTCACGCGGAGCTGTCCGCCAAGGCCCACGGGCGAGCTGGTGGGGGCCCCGGTCAGCTGGAACACTGCTACACATTCCTCGTGGGGCCCGGTGGGGCCCATGAACCCCCATGCGGTCTGGCCTGCCCCTGGCGAGGTCCATCAGAGTTCACCGCGGCCCCCTGGCGTGAGCCTTGGGCCGGGCCCCATCGCAGACCCCCCGGTGAGGTCCATCAAAGTTCACCGCGGCTCCCCGGTGCGAGCCCCGGGGCGGGCCCTATCACGGGGCCCGTCGCGGGCCCCGGGCCTTCGACCGTCAGCAGCCAGAGGGCAGCGTCTCCACGGAGGAACCCAGCAGCTCCATGAGGTCTGGCGTGAGCTGCACCAGCCGCACCGCGGCACCGTCCCCCCCCGCCTCGTCACCCCCCACCGCACCCCCCCTGCCATCCTCCTCCGCTGCTCCACCCCCACTGTCCCCCGCCGGCGCAGGCCCCAGCTGGGAAGCGGCCGCCTGCGCCCGCAGCAGTCGGCGTGGGGCACTGGCCAGGAGCGCGCCGGGCAGCGCAGCGCGGAACGCGGCCAGAGAGAGGCGAACCCGCGACAGAACCTCGCTCAGCAGCAGCCAGTTCCTGGGCCTGGGGTGCACGGGGGGGGTGGGAGACGCGGTAGGGGGGGGGGGGAGGTATAGGGGGAGGCATGGGGGGGAGATGGGGGGTTGGAGAGACATGGGGAGAGCAGGGGGGGAAGACAGGGGGGAGGGGGGGGAAGACAGGGGGGAGGGGGGGGGGAGACAGGGGGGAGGGGGGGATGAGGAAATGCCAGGGAGAGACACGAGGTAGACTTAGCTGAATTCAAGACAGTGGTGTGAGCAGGGCTACGATTGGTGGTACAGTGGTGGCGGTGGGGAGAGCGATCTCTGGACATGGTGTGCCGGTAGCTGAGGTTGTGTGGTCTGTGTGGCTGTGGGGTGACAGGAGACGAGGAATGGTGGTGGTGGTACCGAAGATAAACATCAGTGAAGGGATGCAGGCAAGACCAATAAGACAGATGCCTTCTATGACCACCTGTCCCAGGTGCTAGCTGAAGTGGCCTCCTTGGGATAGTAATCCTGTTGGGTGACTTGAATGCCGGAGTGGGTCATGATTTCTGTGCAGCCTGTGGCCTTGTAATACCCAACCACACTTTTTCCGGCATCCGGGCATTCACGCAACATCATGGATGCACACCAGTTCCAAGAAAGAAGATCTTCTGGACTATATACTGACAGACTAGAGAATGTGGGCCCATGTCCTTAACACCAGGACCTACCCTGGAGCTGATTTGCTCACTGACCGTCGGCTTGTCATCTGCAGGATGCACCTGCCATTCGTCCACTGCTGTGGTGGGTGTCCATTTAGCATCCTATTCAAACCCACAGTGGCCTGGTCTGAGCTCACTACTGATAACAGTTGCAAGCGGCTTTATTTACCTGGTCAAGGCCTATGATACCATGAATAGGCCTGGGCTCTGGGTTGTCTTTCATGCTTTCAGAGTCCCTGACTCTCTGCTCACAATCATTAAGGACCTTCAAGATGGTAGGCAGGCCCAGGTAAAGCTACGTGGCCACGAGTCAGAGCTATTCCCTGTTCACCTTGCGGTGCGACATGGATGTCCTCTGGCTCCCACAATATACAACATCATCTTTGCCCACGTAGTTGAGAATCTTTCCATGGCTGTATCGGTGGAATGTTCATCTGGTACAGATACAATGGGAGGTTCATCAATTTCCGGGAGCGGTCGAGGGATGGCTCCCTATTGGTCAACCATATTACATATGCTGATGATCTTGTGAGAGGGAGATATTGACGTGGTGTGCTGGTAGCTGAGGTTGTGTGATTGTGAGGATGTGGTTGTGATGTTGTGGTTGTGTGGTTGTGATTGTGTGATTGTGTTACTGTATGGTTGTGTGCGTGTGTGGTTGTGTGGTAGTTGTGGCTGACCCCTGTGAGAGGGAGATCTGGACGTGGTGTGCCGGGAGTTGGGGCTCCGATGAGAACTCAAAGAGCACTCCGCCCTCGTCGCCGCCTCCGTCCCCGGGGCCCACAGGGGCCCCTCCCCCACCTGCCCCCGGACCCGGAGGGGCGGCCAAAACCGCATAGCCGCATTGCTCCTCACCCTCTTCTGCACAGCACACACACACATAGTACACACACAGTATACACACACAGTACACACATAGTACACAAACATAGTAGACACACATATACCAATACTCGCCATTCACCACTAAGTGACGGTGATGTCACCACGGTGCCTGTGCCAGGCCAGGTGCATTATTAAGTGTGGAAGCCTCGCTAACAGGAGGTTATGGGACAGACCCAGGTGCCATGGGTTGGCTGACTGAGATGACTGGTAGATGCACCACCTGTACCCCCTACTGTGCTGACTTGCTGCATTTTAGCTGCCTGGTGCTCTGCTTGTTGTTGTGAGCATCGCTCCTTTGTCCTCTGTTGTTGTTGGAGGGCGACTGCCTCCAACTGCCCAGTAGCGTCCTTTACGAGCCTCCTCCATAGAGGCCGATCTTAGCAAAACTGGTAACAGTCGTCAGAAAATACACTCAGCTCCACATCATCCTATACCGCATCAGTCTATCTCTTCTACAGCCCATGTCATGCCCGTTTATCCCACTCTATCCAGCTGAACAAAAGCTGTTTTGGGCATTTGGTGGCGGGGCATGCGGGCTACTTGACCCAGCCAATGCAGCCTTGCCTGCCAGAAGAAGTCACCGGTGGGACTTTGTCCAGATCTTTCAATGATTTGTGAGCCCCTCACACAATCAAGCCTGGTTAAACCAATGACAGATCGTACGCAGGCCAGCTTGAATGTTTCTAATCAGCGAAGATGTTCCATTAGGGGGTCCACGTTTCGCAAGCATAGAAAAGGGAGGGCATGACTGTGGCCGAGCAGACCAGAAGCTACGTTTGGAGCGACAGACCAGGTAGCTTCCACAGAGCGTTACGCAGCTGATGAAAATATACTGCCGCTCAATTAATTCGAAGTGGGACCTTTCTGCTGTTAAACCAGAGCTGGTCATAAGCACACTGCCCAGGTAAGGAAAACTCTCCACTCTCTCCACAACTGCCCCATCACCAATGGGGAGTTGAGGGGGTGGAGTGTTTGATGGCACAAAATACCCCGGCAGGTACTTAGTTTTGGTGGGGCTGATTGTAAGGCTCCACCTCTTAGTGGCACACTCCAGTTTCAGCAGCAGCGCCTCTGACTCCTCTTGAGTGAGCAGGAATCACCAGACCATCACTATACATAACATGGTTGACCAAAAGGGAGCCATCCCTTGTCCGCAACCAGGCATCTATCAGCCTCCCATTTTATCTGTACTAGATGGGGATGCTTCCGGTATAGCCATGAAAGGCTTCTTGAACTACGTGGTGAAAAAATATGTAAAATAATGTGGGAGCCAGAGGACATTCCTGTCGCACCCCAAGGTGAACAGGAAATGGCTCCAACTCCAAGCCCCGTAGCTTTACCCGTGCCTGCCCACCATCATGAAGGCCCTTAATGATTGTGAGCTGAGAGTCAGGGACTCCGAAAGTACAAACAACTCAGAGCCCAGGCCTATTGATGGTATCATAGGCCTTGACCAGATCAATAAAGCAGAGATGTCAGTCCTGTTGGAATTTCCTACACCTCTGCTGTAGTAGACCAACAGAAAATATGGCATCTGTGCAGGACCTTCCTGACCTGAAAACCACTTTGGGGCTGCGCAAGCATCTCCTCAGTGTGCCTAACATGGCAATGTTGAATAATAATTGCCAGGACCTTTCCCGGCACACTAAAAAGGGAGGACCACCAGGACATCCTTCAAATCCTGAGGAACCCATCCTGTGGTCCAGACAGTTGTGATGTCATGTAGGGCAGTCAGCACACAGACGCCACCCTCGCTCAGCATTTCGCTTGGGAGATCATCTCTGCCTGGCGCTTTTCCTGGTCTCCAGATCTCACCTCGTACTTCCTCCACAGATGGCACCTCAGCCAACCACTCAGAAGGGTTGGCTACTTTTTCCAATAGGGTTGTCCCCATGATGTTGTCTGAACTGAGAGAATTCCCCTCCCCCAAGACCTCATAGAAATACTCTGAAAACCTGCAGACCAGTTCCTGGAGGTCAGAGATCATGTCACGATTCTTTCCCTTGAAGATGGTGATAGGTGGGGTAATGCAAGTTACTTTTTTGATTGAATTAAAGTGTAATTTGTTATTCCGGGATACTGAGGCAGATTCCATCTCCTCAGCAACCCGTGCCCACCACTCATCCTTGCAGCACCACACGGCTCTCCGAATCTCTGAGCAAAGGCTGTGGTAAGCCTCCTCAATCTCTGATGTGGGATGCTATAGACAACGGGAGTGGGTCTGTCATTTTCTCTCAACCAGCCGGAACGCCTCCTTCATAAGCCAGGGTCTCTGGCGAGGTCTGACTGCATACCCAATGCAGCCATTGCACCTGCATGAGCCACAGTCCTGAACCTCACCCATTTCCCCTTAACATTAGGAGGGGAGGACGATGTCAACCCCGGCTGCAAGTGATGTTTAAATATCTGCTTGCAACTATCCTCAGCTAGCTGAGACCAGGCCACTGTGAGTTTGAATGGGGTCCTATATGGACACCCACCACTAGAGTGGAAGAATGGCAGACGTTTCGATTTAAAGCTTTCGTGACTGCAGGGATTCATCTCCTTGGTTCTTTCGGTAAAGTCACGTAGAAGGGAAGTAATAAAATAATAAAAATAAAACATAATAAAATAATTATTCTTTTATTACTTCCCTTCTACGTGACTTTACCGAAAGAACCAAGAAAATGGCAGACGTGTCTTACAGATGACAAGCTGATGGTCAGTGGGCAGATCAGCTCCATTGTCGATTCTGGTGTCAAGGACATGGGCCCAAATCCACTGGTCCGTCACTATATAGTCCAGCAAATGTTTCTGCCTGGACCTGGCGTGCATCCATGATGTTGTGTGGCTGCAGCGATGCTGGAACGGTGTGTTGGTAATTACAAGCCCACGCGCTGCACAGAAGTCTAGCAGCCTCTTACTGTTGCTATTGAGCTGACCCACTCTCTGACACTCACTCACTCTCTTGACACTCACTACCTGACACTCACCGAAGATTTCGCTGCCGTGGAAGTCCCAGCAGATTCCAGGGTCGTCCGGGCTTCTACCCCGCAGATCCAGCAGGTACTCTGTGTGGGGCGACACTCACCCTCCTCACCACTACCCCTCACCACACACTCACCATAGCCACCACACTCACCGTTAACCACCACTCTCACACCACACACTCACCACACACTAACCCTAACCACCACGGTCACTGTTATCCACTACTCACACACCACACACTCACCCTCCTCACCACTACTCACACACCACACACTCACCACCCTCCTCACCACTACTCACCACCAAGGGCTGTTCGCGAGTAGCGGCAACTTTTAAGGCTGGCACTGTGGCACATGAGGGGGTGGGTGGCCAACACCACGCCCGGCCACCTTTGTCACCCTAGTGGAAATGTTTACACACTGCACCGGGTACTCATTTGAGGCCGAGGTGACCTGGAGGAGGCCCAGTACCGGTTCAGATAACTGTAACTGGTGTTGGCCGTGAGCAGGAATCAAACTCGGGTAGCCGGATTTGTAGCACAGTGCAGCGGTAATTGCTGCGCCACCACTTCCACGCCTATTCGGGATGCATAATAGATTCCTCCTCACGGTGCATCCTGGTAACTTCTGGAGGGTTATTCCCCAGAAAGCCAAATCTATTAACCACTCTTAAACCAACCGCGTCTACCCAAGAAAGGCGTGGACAAAAACAGTTGGCACTCTCAGTCCTCTCAATTAATATTGATACTCACAGGCAAAAGCTGACATTAAGGCAGTTATATTAGAGGAGCAGGACATTGCATGCTTACAGGAGACACGCAAAGGTCCTAATAACCCCCGCCCAACCATTGAGGGGAAAGCACTCGTTGCTGAAATAAGACTAAGGCAGTATTGCAAGTCCTGACCTGAAAATTGAGAAAGTGCATACCCCAACACAAGCAAGAACAACATCGAAACCATCACACTTAGCCTCAAAAACATCACAGTAACATCATCGCATGAACAACCGTCAAGTACTTTAGGGTGGAAGATTTGACTGGATGGCTGTATAAGCAGGTATAGCCTCGTGATCGGGGACTTCAACTCCCATCAGACAGCTTAGGGATATGATGCCAAAACAATGCCGGCACCCCCTGAGTGGAACAATGGGCAGAGTCCAGTAACCTGACGCTGGCACATGACGCCAAACAACCTCCCAAGTCAGTCAACAGCGGCCGCTCCCGCTGGAGAAGAGGATCCAACTCATGAATGTGCTCATGTGCCTGAAAGCAGTGCGAGCAATGGCGGAGCCAGGATTTTCAGGTAGGGGGGGCAACCCCTCCAGCCATGAAAAATGATAGAGGAGTTGTTAGGAAGTAAGGACTTGTCCCTTGCTTTTTATTCGACGCGTGTGCGGCGATGGCGCAGCCATCGATCGAGGGTCGAATTCGAACCGTGTGTGATCGGCATCGCGCTCGCTGAAGGTGAATGCCTCCAGGGAAGTCGTGTCCTGTATACGCAACTACACACAATTCTGTGAGTCACTTATAACCGCTTTGCCGTTACTTATTGCCAATTATGGACTCAGACTATTGTTCTATCATCTCATGGAGTCCCTGGCACGTAATAATATGCTACACAGTGGCAGTGTGGCAGTGGGGTCGCAAAATGCCAATTTATTACTAAACCCCAATGATAGATCAAAATTATGGATTTCGATCGGATCACTGGGGGGGCCACGTGCCACCCCACCCCCCACCCCCCCCACTGGCTCCGCCAGTGAGTACTATAACCCATGCCTACCACCCAACACTGCCCTATAAGCATCAAACTAGGGTCACCAATAACAGTACAAAACACCCCATTTCACAGACGATTCAACCTGAAAAAAGCCAATTGAAAAGCCTTCACAGAGGCAGTGGAGAAATCAATCAGGGACATCACTCCCACCCATGAGAACTACAATGATTTCACGAGGGCTGCCACACAAGATACATCCCAAGCATGTCAAGCACAACATCTGAGCTGTACGCTCTCGATGAGAAAGAATACCATCTCGATCCCTCATCAGAATCCACTATTACGTTTGGAGAAAACCTAATAGACAACATAGAACTAGAGCGACACAATGCCTGGAGAGATATGATTGTGGACACTAATCTGACACATAACAGCAAGAATGCCTGGGCGACCATAATAGACAACATAGAACTAGAGCGACACAATGCCTGGAGAGATATGATCGTGGACACTAATCTGACACATAACAGCAAGAATGCCTGGGCGACCATAAGAAAACTAGTAGGAGGTGACAATATTCCACCTCCAGCTGTCTCAAACGTTACTGCTAAACCAGGTTGCGCAACAACTGCTCAACCATGGGAAGCAGTTGCAAAGAAGAAACACTGGAGAACACCATCACTCTATTATACCGCCCGACAACCAACCACCCAAAGACTAAACCCGCCCATTTACTACGGAGGATCTGACAGCCGGCATAGGCCTACTTAAACAAGGGAAGGCAGCAGGGGTAGACGACATACTAGTTAAGATGATACAACATCGAAGACCCGCTGCAAAGTAATGGCTCCTTCACCTATCCAACGCATGTATGACGAGTAAACAGATATCATCAGCATGGAGGAAGGCAAGAGTTATAGCTCTACCCAAACCAGGGAAAAAACCTTTCATCACCAAAAAGATATAGACCGATCTCCCTCCTTAGCATAATTTACAAACTCTTAGAACATCTTATCCTCCAACAAATTTCATCCCTGGTAGATCTCAAACTCATACGAGACCAAGCGGGGCTTCAGACCTGGCCGAACTGGTGCAAGCTAACTACTAAACCTCACACAGCACGTCGAAGATGGCTACCAACAGAAAATGATCACCGGCGCAGCATTTGTTGATCTATCTGCAGCATGTGACACTTTTCAACACCACATTTTGATCCACAAACTACACCTCATGACTGGCGACCGAGACCTTTGCCAGACTATTCGAAGCCTCCTAGAGAATAGATGCTTCTACGTGGAACTAAACGGGCATTCTCAAAGCAATGACTTGCCACCACGAGGCAGTGTGCTCGCCCCACTTTTATTCAATATCGAGACCAACGATCAGCGACTTCCTGAATATCAGCGGTTCATCTCAGCTGACGACCTCTGTATCACCACAGAGCAGAGACATTTTGAGAACACAGAGAAGATCCTGGAGAGGGCAATGGACGAGATGTCAAGATGCTACCTAAATAAGTAAAAACCAAATCTGTGCCTTCCACCTGATAAACTGGGGTGCAGAGCGACATCTAATTGCCACCGGGAGAAACCAGAACACCAGAGTCATCCAGTGTACCTCGGGGTAACACTGGATCGTATACTCAGCTATAAAAAGCACACTTCAAATATCAAAGCCAAGGTCAACACACAAATCAACGGAGGATGTGTACCGGATTAATTGCACTTGTGGAAAATTCTATGTTGGGCAGACAGGACGAATGATCAGCACGAGACTAAAACAACACCAAAGGAATATTAAATACTCCCAAATACAACTGTCGGCAGTGGCAGAACACGCGTGCCAACAAGGACACTCAATTGATTTTAATAATGTTGAAGTTCTGTGCGAAACTAGTTACTACTGGACAAAACTAAATAGAGAATCTATCGAAATTGAGAGAAATATAAATAAATGTCTCTATTCGAATAGCTACAGGCTTAGTGCTGCTTGGAAGCGAATCATCAAATAATACTTTGTGTAAAGGCATGCCTATACAGGTCACCATATGTCAATGGGGATTACCTTCACACAGAAAATTACAGGTACTGCTATTTTATTGCGCGCAAATGACAGGAGGTACAACAACAATGTTCATGCATGCATAATGCATGTTAATTTCCAACTGGCAATGAATACCCATTGTAATGTATATGTAATCATTAATCCCACCTTCACACGTGAAGGACTCACAAGTGATGTCATCACATCCATCCCTCTATTTAGGGAACGAAACAGGAGGATTTCTCCACAAACCTTGCTGCCGCCTAATGACGCTAGTTGTAATTACTGGCCCAATGTCATACTCGGATGGTAAATGTTGTGAATTTGCTCTCCAACACACCGGTGTGCTGTACTAGTGTAGTGGCATAGCGCTGGTTGCTGGCAAAAAAGGGTAACTGCGGTGTGCGGCAGTACTGACGTCAGCAGGCACGAGAGGGGGACATCTAAAGGGGAAAGGTCACAGAGCGGGCCCATCGGGAAGCCTCGGGAACCCGCTGGAAGGTTCCAGAAAGGGGGCGTGGCCAGGGCGGAGCGAGGCCACGCTGGGAGGGTGAGAGGGGTCCCTGTGGGGGCCTCGTGTGAGAGGGGTCCCACAGGGGACCTCGTGTGAGAGGGGTCCCTGTGGGGACCTCGTGTGAGAGGGGTCCCCGTGGGGGCCTCGTGTGAGAGGGGTCCCTGTGGGGACCTCGTGTGAGAGGGGTCCCACAGGGGACCTCGTGTGAGAGGGGTCCCTGTGGGGACCTCGTGTGAGAGGGGTCCCTGTGGGGACCTCGTGTGAGAGGGGTCCCTGTGGGGGCCTCGTGTGAGAGGGGTCCCTGTGGGGGCCTCGTGTGAGAGGGGTCCCTGTGGGGACCTCGGGGCTGTTGCTGGAAGTGGGATCCCGTCGTGCTGCTCAAGTCCATCGTCGTCCCCATCCCCTCGTCGTCGTCTCCGTCTTCACCGTCACGGGGCGCTGCCCGTCAGACAGCCGCCTACCAACTGTTCTAACCGAGTGGTGCCGCCGACAATAGAAGGACTAAATAATAATAATCGTGTGCACCCACGTAGGGTGTTGTGTGTTATCCCAAGTGCCTCCAAGTCTTACTTTCTCCGAGTTCGTCACTACACTAGTAACGAATAGCTGTTTACGTGACAAACCTTACTAATTGGCTGTGTCGGGTGATGGTGGGTTTAATGACATATTTATATTTATGCGATCTGACCCAGAGAACCTATATTATCGATGATATTGGTCGCAAAAGCCTACGTGTTAAACATACAAAACAACATTCTGCGAAAACTCCAAATTAAAAGTGTGGAGCACATCCATCCACTCGACACACCACTGCCTTTGCACGTTGTTTCTCTGTGGCTGAATATGCGTGCTCTACCCGGGGGACACTCAACCCACAGTAAACATGCCCTAAATGACACGTGCAGAATTGTAACAATGCCTGAGAATCACCCCTGTTCCCTGCCTACATTGCACCATCTGGCATCTCGCCCCCTAACATTAGGAGGAGGTTAGCACGTGACCACGGGCATCAAGTCATAGAGTGGGACATCCGTCAGCTGCTGTCATCGTGAAACAGCTTCTTGTGCCCCACTGACCACATTAACGGATTCCGCTAGAACTTCCCTCTGGCAAAAAGAATGGGAAACATCGAGTGACAACACTGCTCAATAAAGCCGGCGAGGCATCACCCCCAGTGAAGAGCTCGCATCCGGCTCCAATTCCAAATGGCTCACATGGCGGAGCCTAAACAGACTTAGAGTGGGTTTCGGCAGATGTGTGTGTGTGGTGAGTGTGTGGTGAACGGTGAGGGTGTTTGCTGAGAATGTGTACTTAGTGTGGCAAGTAAGTGTGTGCTGAGTGTGTGCTGAGTGTGTGTGCCGAGTATGGTGAATGTGTGTGGTGAGTGAGTGTGTGGTAAGCGTGGAGAGTGCGTGGTGAGTGTGTGGTGAGTGTGTGCTGATTATGTGTGCGTAGTGGGTGAGTGTGTAGTAAGTGAGTGTGTGGTGAGAGTGGTGAGTGTGTGGTGAGTGTGGTGAGTGAGTGTGGCGAGTGAGTGTGTGGTAAGCGTGGAGAGTGTGGTGAGTGTGGTGAGTGTGTGCTGATTGTGTGTGCGTAGTGTGGTGAGTGTGTGTGTAGTGAGTGAGTGTGTGGCGAGTGTGGTGAGTGTGTGGTGAGCACGGTGCTCTACTCACCACGTAGGAATGCCCCCATGCTGACGCTGTGTACCATGGTGCTAAGGGCGCGCCCTGAGTACGGCTGCAGGGCCGGGTCTGCGCCACATGCCAGCAGCAGGCGGAGCAGCTCCAGACGGTCGCTCTCCACCGCGTCGTGGATCGGCCTGGGGGGGCGGGGGGGGGGGGTGTGGGGACGGGGGGGGGGGTACGGGGATCGCGTCAAACCTCCACCCCCTCCTCAACCTCCCTCTCCACTGACCCCCTTCTCTCCATCCTCCTACCACTCCTCAACTTACTCCTCATCCTCCTCCACCCCCACTTCAACCTTCCCACCCCCTCCACCACCCCCTTCCCCCTCTCAATCAACTCCCCGTGCATCCCCCCACATCTCCCCATGTATGTGTCCCCGTGTCTCTGTGTCCCCGTGTCCCTGTGTCCCTGTGTCTCCATGTATCTGTGTCCCCGTGTCTCTGTGTCCCCGTGTCTCTGTGTCTCCATGTCCATGTCCCGGTGTCTCGGTGTCCACATGTGTCTGTGTTCTTCGTGTCCCCTCTCCCCGTGTCTATGTGTCCCCATGTCCCCCGATGCCCCTCCCCCTCCATGCCCCCCCCCCTCTGTGCCCTCCCCTCCTCGTGCCCCCCCCCATGCCCTCACCGCGTGCCCCCCCCCGCATGCCCTCACCGCGTGCCATCCTGAGCGCTGCAGTTGACGTCCGCCCCGTGAGCCAGCAGCGCGCGGGCGATGGCCATGTGGCCTCTGGCGCAGGCCTCGTGCAGAGCGCAGTAGCCGGCGTTGTCACGGTGATTCACGTCGCAAACCCCTGCGTCCACGCAGTACAGCACCACATCCTGGTAGGGGTGAAGGGGGCGGGGGGGGGGGGGCATGGGGGGGACACGGAGGAGGGGACACGGGGGGTGGTGGTTGTGGTGGTTGTAGCTGTGGATGTAGTTGTGGTCGTTGCAGTTGTGGTGGCTGTAGTAGTGGCTGCAGTAGTAGTTGACTCTGTAACAGTAGTGGTAGTGGCTTCAGTAGTAGTAGTCGCTGCTGCAGTAGTGTTAGTAGTAGTGTCTGTAGCAGTAGTGTTAGTAGCTGTAGCAGTAGTGGTAGTGTCTGTAGCAGTAGTGGTGGTAGTCGTAGTCATTGCGGCTGTAGTAGTAGTGGCTGCAGTAGCAGCAGTAGTGTCTATAACAGTAGTTGTGTCTGTAGCTGTAGTTGTGTCTGTAGCTGTGGTAGTAGTGGTGGTGGTAGCAGTGGCAGTAGTGGTAGCTGTAGTCGTAGTCGTCATTGCGGCTGTAGTCACTCACGCGGTATCCCAGCCGCGCGGCCCTCTGCAGCAGCGTCTCCCCGGCGTTCTTGTTCACGATGAGGCGCCTCGCTTCGGGGGGGGGGCGTGCCCCCGCCCCCCCCGCCCCCCCTCCGCTCCCCGCAACCTCGGGCACCCACTCCGCCAGGCGGCTCCGCAAGGCCCCCCGGTCGCCCGCCGCCACCGCTGCCTGCTAGCCCCCACACACCCAGCCAGCAGCGGAGGTGACGCGGTGGCCTCCCCGCCCCCCAGTGGCAGCTGTCTCTGTGTGGTCTATCCTAGGGGTAACCCCTCGTGGCAAGTGTCGCTGCGCGTTAGTCTGCTGCCAGTAGGGGGCGATGATTGCTGTCGCTGTCCGGTCTAGCCTTGGGGAACCCCCAGTGGCAGCTGTCCATAAACCGTCAGTCCTGCTACAAGGCGTGGGTGTTTTCATAACCCAAATTGTTTATATAACGTGGTCGAGCCAACGGAATCTACCACTCGTGGGAGTGGGAATAGGCGGCGATTGCAAGGGCCGTTAAGCGAGTCACTGAACACCATTCACATCACTATGAGACATCTCCTTTACCAGTGGCAAAATATAGTAGTAGGTTTTTACCCTTTCAACTGGTACAAAAACTGACACCTTTATACAAGGCATCATGTTTGCAATAACCACAACACAACCAGTCAAAATGCAAACAAAAAGAAACAACTGTTGTTTTTTGTACCAGTTGAAAGGGTAAAAACCTATTACTATATTTTGCCACTGGTAAAGGAGGTCTCATAGTGTAAATGCTTACCCCGAGCTCTCAATGCTCTGATAGTGCGCTGTCTTTGAGTTGTACGCCTTTTGGCGTCATTTGGTCCAACACCAATGGAGACTAGGCTCTAAGAAAAGCTGTCTCGGGTGTGGACCAATCAACTTCAAGGACAGTGCATATCATTATCATCATCAGAGTTGTTTATTTTTGTTTGCATTTTGACTGCTTGTGTTGTGGTTATTGCAAACATGATGCCTTGTATAAAGGTGTCAGTTTTTGTACCGGTTGAAAGGGTAAAAACCTATTACAGTGATACCTCGGTTCACGAACGCTTCTGTTCACGAACAACTCGGTTCACGAACAGAAAATTTCATAAAAATATGCTCCGGTTCACGAACTCCGCTTCGGTTCACGAACAGGAGCCACGGCCATTTTTATGCTAATTCCAGGCTGTCACATGGTCGTGACTTCGTGTAGGAAGATCGTGGAGAGAAGCAGAGACACAGAAAGAAGTACTGTGAGTACTGTGAAGACACTTTCAGTGACTTTTTGATTTTTGGTGTGCTTTTTAGCACATACAGTACTGTACTACTGTACTGTACAATACTGTACTTACAGTATTGTACAGTTCACCCGTTTGAGTGCTTACTGTCTCCCACCCGCCTCCCACCTGCCTTCCTCCATGCCAGAAGTCATCTCAAGCAAGGTTAGTGTTCTCTCTTTATACATTACTATACTGTACAGTACTACAGTAATGTGTATTGTCATTTGTTTCATATTTTTGTGCTTCAAAAACCAAAAAGAAGGTCAAAACGGATTAACCGGATTTACATTGAACCCTATGGGAAAATGTGCCTCGGTTCACGACCAATTCGGTTCACGACCAGAGTCAGTTCACGAATTAAGTTCGTGAACCGAGGTATCACTGTACTACCCTTCACATCGTTTTCTCTCTTCACCCTCCGCCATGGCTACGTTTTTCTGTCGCTTGGCGACTAACATTTTAACATGCACTTTTCACAAATGCGCCTTTAATTATTTATTTTACTTAACAAAATTTTACACAGTACAGTAGACTGTATTATCCACATGCGGCTTATCCGATTTGCATATTAACCACGCACCTGAGATTTTGACATACATTAAAAATTGGTGGATTTTCCCTGAAGCCCAAATTAATAATCTGAAAAGAGTTATAGAGCGTTATTCTTGGAAATGTATCCTAAAAGTCACGTGCTTAAACTGAAGAAATATGTTGCTCCGGTTAATCAAAAACCCACGTGATTGCCTCTACAGCACAGTAGTTGCAATATCTTTCCAACGGTGGGGTGGAGTTTGATTGATGTTGATTGGCGTGGCTCTGCTGTCAGCCAGGAAAGTGTTATCATCACTCAGCACGCGCATCATGGAACGGCCGACCTTCGCGTTTTTCGTTCTAAGTCGAGAGAGTAACAATCAAATTGTTAGTTGTCTCATTTTTGTGATTTATCTGATCATTCATTTTGCTTGTTTTAAATTACAAAAACTGTTCAATGGCAGAGAAACGGGAGCGTGTTGTTTTAACTTTAAATCAGAAACTGTATATTATATGTAAATTGAAAGACAATTTATACCAATACGAGTGGTTTTTGGCTGAAATCCGCGGAAAATGTATATTTTTGGATTATCCGTGATTTTGAATTATCTGCGACAATCCTCCCCGTCATTAGCGTGGATAATAGAGTTTACCGTAGTTATAAAAGAACACGTAACATTCAAGAATATGACATTCTCATGGAAAATGTCAGTAATGTCGGTGTTTTTAGAAACAGACCACCCCTTAACACCTTCATTCCCATTGAATCAATGGTTATATTGAACAATATTTTGCCATCACGCGGTGTTCCTCACTTCCTCAGGAACGTAACTACCAATGCGTTATAGGAGAAACTGACTGTACGTTACTCTGCTGCCAGTAGTCGATCAAACCCCATTTGGGTTCCTCCAGATACAGGACACCACTGCGATTGGCCATCTGGAATGTCCGTAAAGCTCATGTGGAGGAGAGGCTGTCGTCCCTCTGTCAGGAGCTGGACCGGTACCGCCTCGACCTCTGTGTGGAATACAGGAGGTCCGGTGGACCAGTTCTGGCTCCAGTCACCATTAGGGGTGGACACTCCTCCTTTGGGGGCAGGAGACGGCCAAACAACAGGTAGTGGCACTTCTTTTGAAACAAAACAATGAAGGGGGTGTGGGAGCAAGGCCGTGATGTGTGGGAAGCTGTAAGTCCCAGAATGCCGTGGGGCTCGCCTCCCCATCAACGGGAGGCCGTGAATTGTGGTGCTGGAAAACGCCCCCACCAAAGATGAACATCGGTAGCGGGATGCAGGCAAGGCCGATAAGTCACATGCCTTCTATGAGCTGCTGTCACAGGTGCTGGCTAAAGTGGCCCCTCAGGATAAAGTCATGCTTTTTAACACGTTTTTATTTAACTCACTTTGCCTGTTGTATCCTCAAAAAATAAATCTTGTAACTCAATTTTTACACACTTCCCAATGTGCTACGACTGCAAACTTGAAATAGCTATGTCATACTGATGACAACACTATATTCTATCATAAAAAATCCAAAACATATCTTTTTAAACATTTTACATGCTTTTATTTAACTTACCGTGTGTGTTGTCGTATCCAAAAATCTTGTAACTCAATTTAAACCGTATTCCCAATGTCGTATCGGCTGCAAACTTGGTATAGGTATGTTATACTGATGACAATACTATATTCTATCATTAAAATTTAAAAATTGATATTTTTAAACGATCTTTTTAACGGCTCTAATTGTCTATGCTCAACTGATGTTGGCTGTAAATCACCACGGTTCCTTACGTCACGGTAAGCCTCGGGGAGCCACGCCCAGGGACGGGGGATGTGGAAGGAGGGGAGGGGCAATGGGGGCAGGGGGCAGGGCAACTCGGACAGTACATTTCATTAAAGCGTGTTTAAAAAAAAGTATTGTTAAATATTTCATGAGTGACTTTCATGCCTGAGTTGGTCATGACGCTGGCACCTTGGCTGGAGTGACTGGAAGGCATGGGCCAGATCAGCTCAATAACAATGGAGAAGGCTGCGAGAGATGTGCAGCCCATGGGCTTGTAATCACCAACACAATGTTCCAGCATCAGCACATCCACACAACATCATGGATGCAGGTCCAAGCAATAACATCTGCTGGACTATATAGTGACAGAACAGCAGATGTGGGCCCTTGTCCTTGACACCAGGACCTACTCTAGGGCTGATCTGCCCACTGATCATCAGCTTGTCACCTGTAAGACACACCTGCCATTCTTGCACTGTTGTGGAGGGTGTTCATCTAGGACCCCACTGAAACCCAGCGACATGGTCTCAGCTCGCTGAATGAAAACCTTCGATACTTCACGTGGCCTCAACGTGCACCTAGCCTGGCACAAGCGACGTGATGATGTCACCGTCGCTTACCGTATTTTCACGCATGTAACCCGCGGTGTCTACCACTTTTTACAAACAATACAAGACCCTGCGGGTATATGGAGGTGTGAGCTATCCCAAAAATATTTTACACGTGTGACATGTCATAACATGGTAGGACTATCCACTATGCAACACTTACCTTTGACTAAAGCACTGCTGAATAAACCACTCGCACTAAAATTGCACGTGTTATCACGTTTTAAATGAATTGTTTGTACAATGAAACGACAATGTTTGAAGTGGGTGCACTTTTTAACACGTAGGCTTTCGCGACCAATGTTATTCATAATCAACGTTTTTGGGTTTAGATCGCGTTATTTATAAATGTGTCGTAACCCTCCACCACCCGACACGGCCAATCAGTAAAAATGTGTCACGTTGACAAAGACAAATAGTTCACTGCTTTAGCCCACCGGTGTGTTGAAGCCACAACATTTACAATTTGAGTACGACGTTTCGCTGGTAATTGCATCCAGCATCATCGGGCAATTCGCCAGAATGGTGAGGCTCTGCTGTAATTATATACTAGATTAGTAATCAGGCTATTGTTACAATTGATTTTGACAACGTGGAAGTGTTGTGTAAAACTAGTTACTACTGGCAAAGACTAATTAGAGAATCGATTGAAATTGAGAGAAACAGAAATAACTTTAATCGCTCAGACAGCTACAGGCTTAGTGCAGCCTGGAAGCGTATTATTAAATAAGATACATTACAATTCCTTATAAGGGAAACAACCACTAACTGATTACTAATGTAGCATAATCACAATAAAACACATTCCAAATGATTACTAATCTACAACTCGCATCGTAACAATAGCCTGATTACTAATCTAGTATATAATTACAATCACTCCCCCCTTGAATCTTTGCACCTGATGAGTTAATGAGTTAATGATGACGTCACTCTGCTGCTGCTCTATATAAGAACGGGAGACACAGCAGAGCCTCACCATTCTGGTGAATTGCCCGATGATGCTGGATGCAATTACCAGCGAAACGTCGTACTCAAATTGTAAATGTTGTGGCTTCAACACACCGGTGGGCTAAAGCAGTGAACTATTTGTCTTTGTCAACGTGACACATTTTTACTGATTGGCCGTGTCGGGTGGTGGAGGGTTACGACACATTTATAAATAACGCGATCTAAACCCAAAAACGTTGATTATGGGTGCACTTTGTTTACCGTAACACTTTCAGTGGCTGTAGGGGGGTGTGAAAGTTTCAGCTGAGACTATGGATTGCACAATGGGAAGGGCATTAACAAGCGTCTACCAGACGCGGAATCATAATTGCTGAGTCCCTTAGGCCGCTGCTATTGGCTGAGCACTATACAGTCGCGACCATGAGCTTTGTTTCAAACTTCCAATGGCTTTGTTGCCAGGAGGCAATGGAGTTCCCGTAGTGCCGCTATTGTCTGTGCAGTGCGCAATGTATCAGTGCTAAAGCTGTACAGGGGTAACTACCGGTCCAATAGCTGTAACATGATGAGGTCGAATGCTGGTAAGCCTAACAGTACGCTTACTTACTTATCTACCAGTTATGTGTTACTTATTTATTGGATATTTACTTTTGTAACTTATTTACTGTTTTAAGTTCACTCGTTTCCGGTTAGTTTGTTTTCTTTGTGCACGTTATGATTTTAATGTTAACAATTGATAGTGGAATGGTTTACAAATGTAAAATTTGTATTAATATGATGGAATTAAGCTGCGGTAACGACGTTATAGATATGAATGCATGCGGGGTATATGGAGGTGTGGGCTATCTGAAATTAGTTTTACACAAAACGCTTTTTTTGCGGGGAATATGCATATGCGGGTTATATGCGGGAAAATACGGTAGTAGCAACGGTGGTTGTTGTTACCTAAAATGGAGGGAACAGAGGCCTATCCCAGGAAGGGACGGGGCCTAAAGAGGAAGGGGTGGGGCTTAAAGAGGAAGGGGCGGTACAAAAGCACACAGGCGAAGCAGGCAGCAACACAAACATGACGCTGCAAACGGAGTGATGGCTCCTCCCCCCCCCCAACCCCCCCTTAGCACACAAGAGATGGAAGCGAGAGTCGGGACTGTGGTCGACGGTCCCTCATACAGGGCCCTCATACAAGGACCCTCCCGTCAAACGTCCTCGTTTTTATCAACATTCCAACTCCGCCAATGGTCAACCATCGACCGAATCCGGACAGGAAATGGCCGATGCTGCATGCCACCCGATGTACAGATGGCACCATCAACGATTCGGCGGCCTGCGAAACCATCGTTCCACTGTGCCTCTGAACAGAGCATTGTAGTGGATAACAACACCTAAAAAATACATCTTTAACCCACTGCTATTAATCCGTATGAAAGAAGAAGAAAAAGCACGGAGGGACCGGCGTTGCCCCACCTGCGTCATCTCCATGTCGGCATCCCCCACCGTCTCCTCCTGCGCTCCTCCTCCTACACCTCCTCCTCCCACTCCAACTCCGCTCAGGTGCTTGCTCTTGTACTTGCGCTTGCCGGGCAGCTTGTCCCTCTCTCCCCCTCCGGGGGGGCCCTCCAGCGGGACCCCCACCCGCCGGCGCTTGGCGGGGGGCGCGGCCCCCCACTCATCGTGCCGCTGCTCCCCACCCAGGAGCAGCGGGCGACGCTTGTGCGGCTTCCGGCCTCGCCGGGCGCCCTGCTGCTGAAGATGATGGCGCTGCTGCTGATGGCGCTGCTGCTGCTGCTGATGGCGCTGCTGTTGATGACGCTGCTGCTGCTGCTGTTGATGGTGCTGCTGCTGCTGTTTCCGCAGCTGTGTTGGCTGTGTGCCGTGCACTAGCGTCAGCTGTGAGGCCTGCTGCTGCTGTTGCTGCGGATTACGCTGCTGCTGTTGATGGGGATGATGCTGTTGTTGCTGCTGTTGTTGCTGCTGTTGCTGCTGCTGTTGCTGCTTCCGCATTGGCTGTGGAGGCTGTGAGGACTGATGTTGTTGCTGCTGCTGTTTCCGCGTTGGCTGTGCAATGTGATGTAGGACAGGCTGTGAGGTCTGCTGTTGCTGCTGCTGCTGTTGTTGCTGCTGTTGCTGCTGCTGTTTCCGCGTTGGCTGTGTGGTGTGATGTAGGGCAGGCTGTGAGGGCTGCTGCTGCTGCTGCTGCTGTTTCCATGCCGGTTGTGTGGCGTGGGGAAGAACCGATTGCTGCTGATGCTGCTGCTGATGCTGCTGCTGATGCTGCTGCTGCTGCTGCTGATGCTGCTGCTGATGCTGCTGTTGCTTTTTTCGCATAGGCTGTGTGGTATGGGGTAGAGCAGGCTGTGAGGCTTGCTGTTGATGCTGTTGTTGATGCTGCTGTTGCTTCTGATGCTTTTGCTGATGAAGATGCTGTTGTTGATGGTGATGCTGCTGCTGTTGCTGCTGCGGCTTCTGATGCTGTTGCTGATGAAGATGCTGCTGCTGCTGTTTCCGTAAAGGCTGTGTCGGCTGTGTTGAATGGGTCATTGCTGTCTGTGAGGTCTGCTGCTGCTGCTGCTGCTGATGCTGCTGCTGCTGATGCTGCTGCTGCTGATGCTGCTGCTGCTGATGCTGCTGCTGCTGCTGCTGATGCTGACACTGATGCCGATGCTGTTTCCATACTGGCTGTGTGAAGGCGACAGCTGGTTGTGAGGCCAACTGCTGCTGCTGATGGTGCTGACACTGACTTAGCTGCTGCTGATGCTGACACTGAGGCGGCTGATGGTGCTGTTGGTGCTGCTGACACTGATGCTGCTGTTTACGCTGGGCCAACTGCTGCGGATGCTGCTGCTGATGATGATGCTGCTGCTGCTGATGATGAAGACACTGATGCTGCTGTTTCGTCATCTGCGCTGGTTGTGTGGCATGAGGAACACCCTGCTGCTGATGCTGTTGCTGCTGATGATGATGCTGCTGCTGCTGATGATGATGTTGCTGCTGCTGAAGATGATGATGCTGCTGCTGCTGATGATGCTGCTGGATTGGCTGCCTGTGGTCTCTGCGCGGTGGCCGTCTTGCAGGCTGTGCCGCCTGTGCCCTGGGCTGCTGCTGCTGCTGCTGTTGCTGCTGCTTGGGCTGTCCCCTCGGCCGCCTGTCTCTCTGCTCTGGTGACTGTTCTGCCTGGGCACTGCCCGTCGGCTTGTGCGGCTTTTCTCTCCACTGACTGGCGAGCTGTTGTGGTGGTGGTTGTTGTGGTGGCGGTGGTTGTTGTGGTGGTGGTGGCGGCTGTAGTGGTGGTGGCTGTAGCTGTGCGACAGCCTGTCCTGTGCTGTGCACGGTCCGCTCGAGCGACTTTGGCATGGAAGCCGGCTGTAGTGTCGGCTGTAGTGCCAGCTGTAGTGTCGGCTGTAGTGTCGGCTGTAGTGTCGGCTGTAGTGTTGGCTGTAGGGCCGGCTGTAGGGTTGGCTGTAGGGCCGGCTGTAGGGCCATCTGTAGAGTCGGTTGTCGGGCTGGCTGTAGGGTCTGTTGTAGGGCCAGCTGTAGGGTCTGTTGTAGGGCCGGCTGTAGTTTCTGCTGTAGAGCCTGCTCTAGGGTCGGTTGTAGGGCTGGCTGTAGGGCCGGCTGCAGGGCCAGCTTTAGGGCCGGCTGTAGGGTCTGTTGTAGGGTCGGTTGTAGGACTGGCTGTAGTGGTGGCTGTAGGGTCGGTTGGAGGGTAGGTTGTAGGGTCGGTTGTAGAGCTGTCTGTAGTGGTGGCTGTAGGGTTGGTTGTAGGGTCGGTTGTAGAGCTGGCTGTAGTGGTGCCTGTAGGGTCGATTGTAGAGCTGGCTGTAGTGGTGGCTGTAGGGTTGGTTGTAGGGTCAGTTGTAGAGCTGGCTGTAGTGGTGGCTGTAGGGTCGGTTGTAGGGTCGATTGTAGGACTGGCTGTAGCGGTGGCTGTAGTGGTGGCTGTAGGGTCGGTTGTAGGGTCGGTTGTAGAGCTGGCTGTAGTGGTGGCTGTAGTGGTGGCTGTAGGGTCGGTTGTAGGGTCGATTGTAGGACTGGCTGTAGCGGTGGCTGTAGGGTCAGTTGGAGAGTAGGTTGTAGGGTCGGTTGTAGGGCTGGCTGTAGTGGTGTCTTTGGGGGCGGTTGTAGGAAGCTCAGGGTCGCGGTGTTCGCTGGAAGTTGCCGAGTCCACAGTCCAACGCATGCCTGTACGTCTGGTTGTGTGTCGCTCCTTCTGTCGCCCGGCTGTATGTCCAGCTGTGTGTCCAGCTCTCTCCCGGATAGCCTGTCTGGCTGCACATCTGCCTGTCCCTCCAGCCGATTGTCCGACTGTCCACGGGGCTGTCTCTCGAACTGCCTCTCCTGCTGTTGCTTGTCCAGCCCTTTACCTGGCTGTCTTTCAGGCTGTCCCCCGGGCCGTCCGTCGGGCTGAAAGTCCAACTGCATCTTTGCCTGCCGGACCGGCAGCGCGTCCGGATGCGTGTCCAGTGACGTCTCCACCCCTTTGTCCGCCTGCGTGTCCGGCTCCGTGTCCGACTGTGCGTCCACAGATGTGTGCAATGCCTCCAGGTGGATCTGCACACGGAGGCTGTTCATACACCCTGCGCACCCATCACACACAAGCACACAGAAAGACAACAGCGTGAGTGGGGGTCGTGGGTAGACACGTATCTGTGCGTATGTGTGTACACGTGTGTCTGTGTGTGCAGTAGTAGTGGGGAGCAATAGAGTAGCGTATTCTTGGGTCTTTCGATAAAGTCACGGAGATAGGTTCAAAGAAAATAACAAAAAATAACAAAAAAAACTACGACGTTTCGATCGCAACACAAGCGGTCGTCTTCAGGAAAAGGGGGGTTAGCTTCCAAGACAAACTGTTTAGAAAGGTTTGAAATGGGCGTAGCCCAAATGTCAGCAGCCAATGATAACGTGAGTGGGGGGCAGCCAACCTGACGGTTTTCGCCAATCAAAGGGCTTCCAGGTGAAAATCAGCTTGTTAAGGAGAGATTATCACATTAATGGGAGATCGCAGAGCCGCAACCAAGGGGTCGGGGTGCGAAGTGACTGTGAAAGCGCAAGTTTGAAATGGGAGTAAATCACAACCAACATCGCAAGGTGGTAGGATGGGGGACATCACAGGCAATTATGACTTCAACTGGTTGATAACAGGACTGAATGCTGATGTACCAGCCCTGGTGAGACATCGCCTCATCAACACTCACTTCACTTGGAATGGAACATTCTACAAACAAATTCTTGGTTCTTTCGGTAAAGTCAGGTAGAAGGGAAATAATAAAATAATATAAATATAAAACAATCAAAATTCTCACGACGTTTCGACTGCAACACAAGCAATCATCATCAGGTGTGAAATCCACAGCAAGAAAATTTCACACCTGGTGATGATTGCTTGTGTTGCAGTCGAAACGTCGTGAGAATTTGTATTGTTTTATATTTATATTATTTCCCTTCTACGTGACTTTACCGAAAGAACCAAGAATATGGATCCCTGCAGTCACGAAAGCTTTAAATCAAAAATTCTACAAACAAGTTGAAGGTACCCCAATGGGTTTTCCCATATCTCCAGATGCAGCCAATGTTTTCATGAAAAAAAATTGAGACAGATGCCATCCAGGCATCCACCCTACGTCCGCCCTTGTGGCAGAGGTACGGAGATGACACGTTCGTCATCTGGCCAGATGGCCGACCAGCTCTGAACCAATTCCTCAACCACATCAATTCCATACACCGAGCCATCAAATTCACCATGGAGGTGGAAAAGGATGACAAGTTACCATTTTTTTATGTTTTAATCGAAAAGAGACCAGATGGCTCAATGGGACCCTGTTTATAGGAAAGCCACCCATATGGATGCCTACCTAAAACCTGCCTCCCACCACCATCCATCCCAGAAGAATTCCCTCATCAAAACTCGACACCATAGAGCTCGATGCATTTCCGACCATCACCACCTAGCCAGTGAACTGGAACACGTACCCCAAGCCCTCAAGATGAATGGATATTCAGACTACACAATCCGTAAGGCTATCACCCCAACCGTTGGGAAAGAACCATCTGAGGACCCAATCAAAACCGTCACCTTGCCATACATAGCAGGAGTCACTAAAAAGATTTCCAAAATCATGAGCAAACACAAGATCCAGGTTCGATTTAACACAGTACATACAATTCGTGATCTGATCCCATCTGTGAAGGATGTGATCCCTGACATGCAATACCCCGGCGTCTACAAACTAAGCCGTGTCTGCGGCAGTAGTTACATTGGGGAAACTTAGCGACATGTCTCGGACCGTGTTCGTGAACACGAGGCAGATCTGAAACACTGTAGGACCAATACCTCGGCTGTGGCTGATCATTGTTTTAACGCGGTGGGATCACACGAAATGGATTTCTCTAAGACGAAGGTACTTTGCAAACCCACTGGCTATCAACAAAGATTCGTTCATGAAGCCATCCACATATATATAGACACAACTTCAACCGAGAAGATGGCTACAAACTGAGCAATCATTGGAAGGACGTTATCAACCAGTTTAAGTCATCACTGGCTGTGATGTTCCCATCCTGCCACCTTGCGATGTTCGTTGTGCTTTACTCCCATTTCAAACGTGCGCTTTCACTCGGTTCACACTCACACAGTCACGCCGCGTGCCGACCCCTTGGTTGCGGCTCGGCGATCCGCCATGAACATGCTCATCTCTATATTCTTGGGTCTTTCATTAAAGTCACGTAGATAGGTGCAAAGAAAATAACAAACAAAAAACCGGCGACGTTTCAATCGCAACACAAGCGGTCGCCATCAGGAGAAAAAAATTAGTGGGAAAGCTGCTGAGGCAGGATGTTGTAAAGGTTTTTAACAAGCTGATTTTCACCTAGCAGCCCTCTGATTGGTGAAAACCAACCACCGTCGGGATGGCTGCCCACCACTCATTGGCTGCTGACATTTGGGCTACGCCCATTTCAAACCCTTCTAAACAGTTTGTCCTGGAAGCTAACCCCCCTTTTCCTGGAAACGACCGCTTAATTGCGATTGAAACATCGTAGCTTTTTGTTATTTTTGGTTATTTTCTTTGAACCTATCTGTCACTTTACCGAAAGACCCAAGAATATGAATTCCTGCAGTCACGAAAGCTTTAATAGAGTAGCGGTTCACGGCTGCGCTATAAACCCGGTGGCCTGAGTTCGATTCCCGCTCACGGCCAACACCAGTGGCAATTATCTGAACCAGCCCTGGGCCAGCCCTAGACCAACTAGGCCTCAATTGAGTACCTGCTGGTGCGGTGTGTAGTAAACATCGCCGTTGGGGAGACAAAGGCGTCTTGGCGTGGTGCTGGCCACCCACCCCCTCGTGTACCATCATAGGTGCTCGCTCAAAGCAGTTGCCCCAACAGTCTGTTAAGGCTACATGGGGGACATTTGTCTTTGTACTCGTGCGCACTCGTGCACGCGCACTGTTCTGTGTGCGTGTTTACTTGCGTGCCCGTCCGTGTGTACTCTCTCGCGTACTCTCTCATGTAACCGTACTCCCTCTTGTGTACCTTGCTCTGTGCGTCCCTCTCCCCGCGGCTCCTCCACGCTACCACAATGCACTGCGAGCACGGGGCCCGTGCTCTCCGCTCGCCCCGGTGCATGCTGGGAAGGCTGGGCCGCCCCCACCGCGGCCTCACGAGGGGGGTCCCCGTCGCTGTGGTAACCGTTGAGGCTGCCCCTGTAGGGCCCCTCGCGGAGCTCCGTGCGAGCCGCCTCTTCACGGAGCTCCCCGCGAGAAGCCCCCTCGTGGAGCCTCGCGTGAGCCCCCGCGCAGAGCTCCGCATCCCACCAGCCGTGGGAGCGAGCCCCCTCACGGAGGTCGCTGGAGGAGCTGCAGAGTCGGCGGTCTCCGTGGTGGAGGAAACCCTCCCCGCGGGGGAGCTCGGGGCAGCGCGCCCAGTCGTGGAGCTCCGCGTGGGGGCCCTCGCGGGAGGCGGCCACCTGGCGGAGGTCGCTGCACGAGCCGTAGTGGCGGTGGGCCCCGTGGCGGAGGTGGTTGCGGAGGCCCGGGCGGTAGAGGGGCCCCTGGCGGAGGTGTGGGTCCCATTTGAGCGGGTGGAAAAGGTGGTGGTGGTGTAGCCCATGGTGGAGCTCACCCTCCAGACCGAATCCCTGCAGCTCCACCGTGAGGCCAAACGGCAGCAAGGGAGAGAGTCCTCCTGGTCGCGCAACACACAAAGACACCCACTCACTCACCCACTCACTCACCCACTCACTCACCCACTCATTCACACACTCACCCACTCACAACCGCCATTCGCCACAAAGTGGTGGTGATGTCACCACAGCGCTTGTGCCAGGCTATGTGCACTTTAAGGCCACGTGAAATATCGAACGTCCACTGGCAGGAGGCCACAGGACAGACCCAGGTACCATGGGTTGACTGATTGAGATGACTGGCCAATGCACCACCTGTGCCCCCTACTGTGCCAACTTGCTGTGCTTCAGCCACATAGTGCTCCGCTCGTTGTTGTGAGTGTCGCTCCTCCGCCCTCCGTTGTTGCTGAAGGGCGACTGCCTCCATCTACCCAGCAGCATCCTTCACGAGCCTCCTCCACAGAGGCCGATCTTGACACCGCTGGTACCAATCATCGGCAAATCCACTCAGCTCTACATCCTCCTGTACCACATCACTCCATCTCTTCTCTAGCCCGTGCCGCGCACGTTTAGCCCCCTCGATCCGGCCGAACAAAAGCTGTTTGGGCATGCAGTCGCTGGGCATGTGGGCTACATGACCCAGCCAATGCAGCCTTGCCTGTTGTAGGAGCTCACCGATTGGACTTTGTCCAGTTCTTTCAAGGATTTGTGAGCTCCTCACACAATCCAGCCTGGTTAAACCCAGGATGAATCATAGGCATGTCAGCCTAAATGTTTTTAACCAGCGAAGATGTTCCATTAGGGGGGGTCCATGTTACGCAAGCACAGAGAAGGGAGGGCATGACTGTGGCCGAGAATACCTGAAGTTTCATATGGAGCGACAGACCAGGTAGCTTCCACACAGCCGATGAAAAGATAATGCCACTCGGTTGATTCGGAGTGAGACCTCTGCTGTCAAACCGGAGCCGGTTATGAGCACACTGCCCAGGTATGGAAAACTATCAACTCTCTCCACAACTGCTCCATCACCATTTTGGAGTTGTGGGGGTGGAGTGTCTGATGGCACCAAATACCCAGGCACACACTCACTAACTCACACACACACACACGCACCCACTTACACACTCACGCACCCACTCACAAACTGACTCAACCACTCACACACTCACCCACTCCCAAAGACAAAGATCCTCCATTTACCCTCAACAGACTCTTGGTGGCAAGACCTGTTAGCGAAGGCCGCCACAGGGCACCACAATTGAGCCAAGAATAATTCTCTCAGGGGGCAACTGGGCCGGCAGATAACATCAAAGCAAATTCTAGACAATGAAAACAAAACAAACTTAATAATAATAATGATAGCAATAAAGTAAAATTCACGCCTAAAACTTTGGTGAATTTAATAATGGAGGACAAAGATGGCAGAATGGTGATAACTGCTATTCGAACTAAACCGAATTTTATTTTACCAGGCAATGCCCCACTGAGCTATTTTGCACTATTTGAGAAGCCACCTGGCATCACAAATGACAGCTCAATCAAGTGGTGGTGGCCCATCACCATCACCGTGTGCAAATGCAAAGCAGCAGCCCAATCACTCTCTAAGCGCGTGATGTTGATTCTAAATGTGGAGGGCAAAGACTGGAGGACCCGGAGAAGAATCCACGTGACCACCAGGTGAGAGAGATGGAGAACGCAAACTCCAAATATGGTGGCTAGGAGATGTTCTCTCCCTCGCCTGGAGTGCAGAAGGCAGTGGGTTAGATCCTGGACCCTGACGATGCGTGCTGTTATAGATTTGGAGTCTGCGTGTCTCTCTCCCCATGGTGGGGCCACTGCGTGAATTTTCCTGCTGCTAGAAATGTTCACGTGATGATGATAATCCGCTACTTCGTTGCGCTTGACGCATACCCGGCCCCCTTTGTCTGCCCAGTGCTGATGTTCTACAACACCATACCAGGTCTCTGAACGAAGGTCGAGTCGATCTAGGGGAGGGCTGGGACCGGTTCAAATGTTAACCTACGGGCTGGGAAATACTCTCATCCGATTGGCCGCATGTTTAAACGCTTTCACCCCGATTGGCCGCTTGTGTAACGCTCTCATCCGATTGGCTGCATGTGTAACGCCCTCACCTGATTGGCCGCGTGTAACGCTCTCACTTGATTGGCTGCGTGTGACACTCTCACCTGATTGGCTGCGTGTGACACTCTCACCTGATTGGCTGCGTGTGACAGTCTCACCTGATTGGCTGCGTGTGACAGTCTCACCTGATTGGCTGCGTGTGACAGTCTTACCTGATTGGCTGCGTGTGACACTCACCTGATTGGCAGCATGTGACACTCACCTGATTGGCCGCGTGTAACGCCCTCACCTGATTGGCTGCGTGTGCGTGACTTCAGGACCACAGGGATGAAATCCTGGAAGCCGTTCTTGTGACGCTTGTGAGCTGACAAACACACACACAAGTACACGCACACATGTACACGCACACATGTACACGCACACATACACACACATGTAAAGACACAAGTGTACACACACACAACAAAGACCACCATTCGCCACTTGGTGAAGTCACCACAGCGCTGAGGCAGACTCAGCGCTGTTTTGACTAAGTGCAGACTAAGTGAACTTTAAGGCCAAATTAAGTGTGAAACGTCCTCTGGCAGGAGGTCGCGGGACAGACCCAGGTGCCATGGGTTGACTCAGATGACTGGCCGATGCACCACCTGTGCCCCCTACTGTGCCAACTTTGTTTTAGCCGCCCAGCGCTCCGCTGGTTGTTGTGAGCGTTGCTCTTCTGCCCTCTATTCTTGCTGGAGGGCAACTGCCTCCAACTACCCAGTAGAGTCCTTCATGACACAGATGACGATCTGGACCCCGCTGGAGCAGTCATCAACAAGTCCACTCAGCGTGCCTGGCAAGGCGATGATGGATAATCCTTGCCAGGACCTTTCCGGGCACAGTGAGGAGTGAGATGCCCCTGTCGTTGTTACAGTCTGTGCGGTCCCCCTTCTTAAAGAGGGGGACCACCAGGGCATCCTTCCAATTCTGTGGAACCTGTCCAGTGGTCCCGGCTGTTGTAATGTTGTCATATAGGGAACTCTGCACACAAACACCACCCTCCTACAGCATTTCGCTTGGGAGATCATCTCTGCCCGGCCCTTTTCCTGGTCTCAAACTCTGGATTGTCTTCTCTACTTCCTTAACAGATGGCACCTCAGTCAGCCACTCACAGTGGTGACTACTTCTTCCAATATTGGAGGCACCGCAGCCTCAGCAGGGTCATCCCCACTTTGCCCCATGATGTTTCCCAGGGCGACGGATTTCCCCTCCCCAAAACCTCACAGAAATCCTCAGCAAATCTGCAAATCTGTTCCTGGGGGTCGGAGATTGGATCACCTTTCTTCCCCCTAATGATGGTGATCGGTGTGGTGCTGCAAGTAACTTTTTTGATGGCGTTAAAGAGTGACTTGTGATTGCGGGCTACTGAGGCAGACTCCATCCCCTCAGCATCACGCGGCCACCACTCATTCTTACAGCGCCTCACAGCTCTCTGAACCTCCGAGCAAAGCCTGCAGTAAGCCTCCTCATGCTCCGACATGGGATGCTGCAGATGGTGAGAGTGGGCCTGTCGCTTTTTCTCAGCCAGCCGGAAACACCTCATCCATCAGCTGGGGTCTCTAGCGAGGTTTAGACCGTGTACCCAAAGCGGCCATTGAAGCTGCATGAGCCACAGTCCTAAACCTTGCCGATGTCCCCTCGGCATCAGAAGGAGGGGGGTGCAATGACAACTCCAGCTGCAAGCGATGATGACATTCTCGCTTGCAGCTTTCATCAGCTAGCTGAGACCACTCCACCGCAGGTTTGAGTGGTGGCTACAAACGCCATGAGGGGAATGGCCAATTGACATTGGCCCACCCGCAATGGCACTGCTCACCACAGCCTAACCGTTCGGCGCCACCAAGTAGGTAGGGGGTTGTTTTGCCGAACACACACGTACACGCACACACGCACATGAAAACACACGCACAAACATGTAAACACACACACTGACAGCTTTTGTTCGGCCGGATCGAGCTGGCTAAACGGGCGCGGCACGGGCTAGAGAGGAGATGGAGTGACGTGGTACAGGAGGATTTGGAGCTGAGTGGACTTGCCGATGACTGGTACCAGCGGTGTCAAAATCGGCCTCTGTGGAGGAGGCTCGTGAAGGACGCTACTGGGCAGTTGGAGGCAGTCGCCCTCCAGCAACAACGGAGGGCGGAAGAGCGACGCTCACAATAACGAGCGGAGCGCCGGGTGGCTAAAGCACAGCAAGTTGGCACAGTAGGGGGCACAGGTGGTGCATCAGCCAGTCATCTCGGTCATCTCAGTCAGTCGACCCGTGGCACCTGGGTCTGCCCCGTGACCTCCTGCCAGCGGGCGTTCAACACTTCACGTGGCCTCAAGGTGCACATAGCCTGGCACAAGCGTCGTGGTGACGTCACCGCCACTTAGTGGTGAATGGCGGTTGTTGTTGTTGCTGTGAGTGTGTGAGTGTGTGAGTGGGTGAGTGAGTGGGTGAGTGAGTGAGTCACTCACTCAGTGCGTGAGTGGGTGTGTGAGTGGGTGAGTGTGTGAGTGAGTGGGTGAGTGGGTGTGTGTGTGAGTGTGTGTGTGAGTGAGTGGGTGAGTGGGTGTGTGCGTGGGTGAGTGAGTGGGTGAGTGTGTGTGTGTGTGAGTGAGTGGGTGAGTGAGTGGGTGAGTGAGTGGGTGTGTGAGTGAGTGGGTGAGTGGGTGTATGCGTGGGTGAGTGTGTGAGTGAGTGGGCGTGTGAGTGAGTGGGTGAGTGGGTGTGTGAGTGAGTGTGTGAGTGAGTGTGTGAGTGGGTGAGTGGGTGTTTGAGTGAGTGGGTGAGTGGGTGAGTGAGTGGGTGAGTGAGTGGGTGAGTGTGTGAGTGAGTGAGTGTGTGAGTGAGTGTGTGAGTGAGTGGGTGAGTGAGTGGGTGAGTGAGTGAGTGGGTGTGTGGGTGAGTGAGTGAGTGTGTGAGTGAGTGGGTGAGTGGGTGAGTGAGTGGGTGAGTGAGTGGGTGAGTGTGTGAGTGAGTGAGTGTGTGAGTGAGTGAGTGGGTGTGTGGGTGAGTGAGTGAGTGAGTGTGTGAGTGAGTGAGTGGGTGGGTGAGTGAGTGAGTGTGTGAGTGAGTGGGTGAGTGAGTGGGTGAATGAGTGGGTGAGTGAGTGGGTGAGTGGGTGGGTGAGTGAGTGAGTGTGTGAGTGAGTGAGTTGGTGAGTGAGTCACTCACTTGGTGAGTCCCCCTCCTCCGGGCTGCCCCCTCCCCCGATGGCCTCCCAGATCCCCCTCTTGCCCCCTCGCACCTCCTCCCCCTCCCCCCCGTGGTGAACTTCGAACTCAGAGGCCCCCACAGCCCCGCCCCCATCCCCCCGGCCCCCACCGCCCCTCCCCCGCTCCCGCATCTCCAGCTCAGAGAATCTCAGCATGGCCCTCTGCACGGGTGGGGAGAGTACAGGGTGAGCGAACAGGGTGAGCGTACATGGTGAGGAGACATGGTGAGGAGAGAGGGTGAGGGACATGGTGAGGAGACGTGGTGAGGGACATGGTGAGAAGACGGGGTGAGGAGACGGGGTGAGGAGACGGGGTGAGGAGAGAGGGTGAGCGGACGTGGTGAGGGGACGGGGTGAGGGTTTGGTGAGGGTACACGGTGAGTGAATGGTGAGGGTACATGATGAGTGAATGGTGAGGGTACAGGGTGAGTGAATGGTGAGGATACAGGGTGAGTGAATGGTGAGGGTACATGATGAGTGAATGGTGAGGGTACAGGGTGAGTGAATGGTGAGGGTAGTTACAGGGTGAGTGAATGGTGAGGATTACAGGTGAGTAAGTGAATGGTGAGGGTACAGGGTGACGTGTGAAGGGTGAGGGTACAGGGTGAGTGAATGGTGAGTAACAGGGTGAGGAATGGTTGAGGTACGGGTGAGGTTGACTGGTGAGGTACAGGGTGAGTGAAGGGTACAGGGTGAGTGAATGGTGAGGGTACAGGGTGAGTGAATGGTGAGGATACAGGGTGAGTGAATGGTGAGGGTACATGATGAGTGAATGGTGAGGGTACAGGGTGAGTGAATGGTGAGGGTACAGGGTGAGTGAATGGTGAGGATGCAGGGTGAGAAGTCAGCATGACTGAATATTTGAAATCATTAATGCAACATCACCACCACCACAACCACCATAACCACATCTCCACAACACCACCACCACCACCACCCTCTCATCACCACCACCACCACATCATCACCACCTCATCACCACCACCACCTCATCACCACCACCATCTCATCACCATCACCACCTCATCACCACCACCACCCCCTCATCACCACCACCACCTCCTCCTCCTCCTCCTCCTCCTCACCACCACCACCACCACCCCCTCATCACCATCACCACCTCATCACCACCTCATCATCACCACCACCACCATCTCATCACCACCCCCTCATCACCACCACCACCATCTCATCACCACCCCCTCATCACCACCACCACCTCATCACCACCACCACCTCCTCATCACCATCACCACCACCCCCTCACCACCACCACCACCCTCTCATCACCACCACCACCACATCATCACCACCTCATCACCACCACCCCCTCATCACCACCACCACCTCCTCCTCCTCCTCCTCACCACCACCACCACCCCCTCATCACTATCACCACCTCATCACCACCACCACCCCCTCATCACCACCACCACCTCCTCATCACCACCATCTCATCACCACCATCTCATCACCACCACCACCTCATCACCACCACCTCACCACCACCACCTCATCATCATCACCATCACCACCCCCTCATCACCACCACCACCTCCTCATCACCACCTCACCACCACCACCACCCCCTCATCACCACCACCACCTCCTCATCACCATCACCACCACCCCCTCACCACCACCACCACCTCATCATCACCACCTCCTCATCACCACCTCCTCATCACCACCACCACCACCCTCTCACCACCACCCCCTCACCACCACCACCACGACCACCTCATCAACATCATCCTGGACATCTTGGGCTCAGTTATTCCTCCTCCCCCACCCCTGCCTTCTGCCCCCCTCTCTCTTCATGACATCACCAGAACATCACCACCTTGACCCCCTCCCCCAATCTGCTGCTCACGTGCCCGACAGAATCCCACGCATCTCCCTCTCCCACCATCACCCTCCATCACCCTCCATCACCCTCCATCACCCTCCATCACCCTCCATCACCCTCCATCACCCTCCATCACCCTCTGTCTCTCTCCCCTCCCCACGCGGTGGAGCGGCCTACACCCCCAACACCGCTGTGGTGCCTCTCAGCCTTGCCCACACCACCGTCTCCACGGAACTGAACTGCCTCACCCCGGTATCGGCAGGAGCCGGGATTGGGTGCAGAATGACATCGCGGTGGTAGCCGCTGGTGCTGCCGCTGCCGCTGCTGCCGCTGCCGCTGCCGTTGCTGCTGCAGCTGCTGCTGCTGCAGTCCGGCTGCTGCTGCTGCTCACGGAGCACAAGGCCCAGTCTCCAGTCAGCTGCAATGATAGCGGACTGCCAGAGAGGCGGCACAGACACAGCCGCACTGCTCAACTCCCCACCCACACACGGCAGCGCCCGCCCACCCACCTGCACAGCCCCACACCCCAACACCAACCTACAAACCTACCTACCCACCCACCTACCCACCCACCTACCCACCTGCACACCCGCACACCCCAACACCAACCTACCCACCCACCTACCCACCTGGACACCCGCACACCCCCACACCAACCTACCCACCCACCTATCCACCTGCACACCCCAACACCAACCTACCCACCCACCTACCCACCTGGACACCCGCACACCCCCACACCAACCTACCCACCCACCTATCCACCTGCACACCCACCCACCCCAACACCAACCTACCCAGCCACCTACCCACCTGGACACCCATCCACCTGCACACCCCAACACCAACCTACCCACCCACGTACCCACCCACCTACCCACCTGGACACCCCCACACCCCCACACCAACTTACCCACCCACCTACCCACCTGGACACCCACCCACTCCAACACCAACCTACCCACCCACCCCCACACCAACTTACCCACCCACCTGGACACCCACCCACCCCAACACCAACCTACTCACCCACCCCAACACCAACCTACCCACCCACCCCAACACCAACCTACCCGCACACCCCAACACAACCTACCCACCCACGCACCTGGACACCCCCACACCACAACACCAACCTACCCACCCACCTACCCACCTGGACACCCGCACACCCCAACACAACCTACCCACCCACCTACACACCTGGACACCCACCTCCCCACCTGGACACCCCCACACCAACCTACCCACCTGCACACCCACCCACCCCAACACCAACCTACCCACCCACCTACCCACCTGCACACCCCAAGACCAACCTACCCACCCACCTATTCACCTGTACACCCTCACCCCGCACACCCACACACCCCAACACCAACCTACCCACCCACCTACACACCTACCCACCCACACACCCACCTATTCACCTGTACACCCTCACCCCGCACACCCACACACCCGCACACCCCCACACCCACCTGCTCCCCCATACAGCCGCACACCCACCTACCCACCCACCTACCCACCCACACACCCATCCGACCACCTACCTACCCACCAGCACACCCACATACCCATCCAACAACAACCGCCATTTGGCACTAAGTGGTGGTGACGTAAACACGGCGCTTGTGCCAGGCTATGTGCACTTTAAGGCCACGTGAAGTGTCGAATGCTCGCTGGCAGGAGGCCATGGGACAGACCCAGGTGCCACGGGTCGACTGATTGAGATGCTCCACCTGCGCCAACTTCCCGTGTTTTAGCCGCTCGCCGCTCTGCTCGTTATGAGAATCGCTCCTCTGCCCCCGATTGTTGCTGGAGGGCGTCATTCACGAATTTCCTCCACAGAGGGTGGAGATTCCGCTGAAACCAGTTATTGGCAAGTCCACTCAGCTCCATATCTTCATACCACATCACTCCATCTCTTCTCTAGCCCGTGCCACACCCATTTAGCTCCTTCTATCCAGCCAAACAAT